GTGCACCATCGATCTTGGGCTCTCGCCTTGATTTCCCCAGGCACCCCCCACCCATTGATCCATGGGCAGTGGAAGACGCCTCTAGCCAGAGCAAAGGGCCATCCTTTTTGGGGGGGGGGGCACCTGTTCCTTGCGCTCCTTTTTCTTCCTGCGTTTCCTTTGGAAGGAGAATCCACCACCTTTGGAGGTACTGTAATAGGACTACAGAGTTGGATGGGATCCCCAATGGTAATCTAGCCTAACCCCCTGCAATGCAGGAATTAGTGCCTTTGAGGACCAGCCAAGTTGACTTTTGGGGTCTGCCAGTGGAGGCGGGGCATTTATAACGCTGGTAAAACTGGCCCTTGCCGCTAGAAAACTAGCAGCTCAGGAAGTAATAGAGCCTAAAGGGCAGGATTTCTAGCTGCAGAAAGTTGGGCGGGGGCAGGGGCTTTTGTCTAAGTGCCTTTTATCTATCAACGGGTCTCACGTCCAAGGGAGCAAAGTCCGAGCAAGGGCTTAATAAGGACATGCAGAAGAGTTCAGTTCCCTTTTCAACGATTACTTTTTGCATGTTTTTTTTTATTATCATTCTCTTTTATTATTAAACATAGTAAACCAAAGATAAAGTGCATAAAGAAATTGTGTCACAGCTGGTTAAAAGCAGCATAAAGTTTGAAATTGTTGTTCCAGAACATCACAAAAAGTCCCCATGAAACTGTCAGGCTGGTTTATATGTATTCTTTTGCATGCTTTTAACTTTTTGTATTTTCTCTGCCTTTTAATTTGTGGCCACCTGGAGTCTAGGGAAAAGTCAGGATACACATATAATAAATAAAATATGCTTAATTAATAATTAATATTAGAAATAATGTTAACCTGTTATAGCGTTTCAGTTCTGTGCAAGTTTGAAACTCTCGCTGCCAAATTTTTCTCAGTCATATCATCTTTTGTAGATACTGTTTTGAGGTATCCCCCCTCAAAGCAGTGTGTAAATTGTATGAAATAAATATGAAATTAATTAATAAATAATAGAAAGAAAACGAAGAGATAGATGGGTTCTTTCAGCAGCAACAAAAAAAGGATTGATTGATCGAGTGACTGAGTGATTGCTAAACCCTTTATTGTTATGTATTTTTTAAAAAAGGTAAGGTTTATGTATATTTTAATCCGTCTGACCACCTGGGTCTCAAGGCGGCTCACAATAAATACACGAATGAAAATCAAGCCAATTTGAAAACAGGGATCCTCGATACGCCCAAAACTCAGTTTCTCCACGGCATGGCAGGTTGATCCCCCACTTTTTAAAAAAGCGTAAACTTCCTTCGTTGGAGGTTTTAAAATAGAGGTTGGATGGCCACCTGTCAGGAATACTTAGGCCCCCATTCGTCTTCTGCGCCAAAGGGGCTCCTTCACGGTGTACCGTGAAGCAAATAAACCAACTCAGGGACTCACTCAGGGAGGCAACGCTTTGTCTGGAACTCCCAGTAGCCAAGCTACTTCTTTCAGGGGAGCTTTTGAGTTCTTCTTGTGAAATATTAATGATAATATTTCAGTCTCCTCTTATTAGTTCTTTCGAAACCTTTAAGACAACATTTTAGTTCTCTGCTAATTGTATGTTCCTTATGTTTCCGCCGGGCCTTTTTAGTAAAATTTAGTAAAACGTATGCACGTTGATTGTAAAACAAAACTCAGAGCGGCTTTCCTGCTTCAGAATACCCGGCTGCACTGTCGCTGTCCGTCGTGCGGAAGCGGCGGGCGGGGACGTGAGCGGGCAGGCTGGGCTTCCCCCGACCGCGCACCTTAAAGGGGCGGTTCTCGCAGTTCTCCTCTCCGCCCCGCCCCCCAGTCTCCTACGTCCGCCTTGCCCAGTTTGGAGGTGCGGCAGGATGGAGCCCCCCGTCGGCACCCAGACGCTCCTCGCCCTCCTGGCCCGCAGAGGTAAGATTGGGGGGGGGGGGCGCTCATCTGAAGGGAGACAAGTCCCCACCCAAATAAAATATTGCGGAGTAGAAGAAGGGAAAAGGGAGCGCGGCCCCAATTCTTTCTTCGGATTTGCTCCCCCTCCTCCAGATGCGGGGTGCGGGAGAGAGACGTCCGAAAAAGAGTTGTCCGTACATCTCGGAAAGGGGCTGGGGTTGGGGGTGTTGGCTGAGCGTGAGAGAGAAAAGAATGATCGGTGGATCGGGGCCGCCAAGAAACTTCTTGCAAGGGAGGAAGATTTGGAGAGCCCCTCCGCAGAATTGGACCTTTCCCACCATATATATATATATATTTGCACAATCGCATTTGGGTGGACGGTTAATATAAATCATATAAACGACTATCTTATACTTTGCAGAAGGAACACAAACGTAGGGAACGGGCTGAAAAGAGAAACAGGGGTCCCTAAAAAATATCAACATAAGCTCTAGAACTGAACCACTTTAACAGGGGAAATCTCAGATTTTTATCTTACACAATGGATGTTGGTTTATATCATAGATGTAAGCTCTGTATTATTTTATGAATATATTGCTACGGACTTCTCATGGCCTTTGGCTGGAACAATAAACTTATTGATTGATTATATGTTTGTGTATAATGCATATTATATTAATTATATTATTTTATGTTATTAGAAAAAATATCTTAAAAGCTAAAGGCAAAAATGGGCCATTTCCTCCCCATAATTTCCATGCTGTTGGGCATGATTTTATTGCTTCATCATATAGTATGGTCTGGTTTTATCAATCCGTATTATTATTATTACTATTATTCCCATGGGCAGCTGATTCCTATAATAAAGAAAGAGAAACAATGAATATCAATAATCGGAAATCAGCATATTATAATGTAACCTTCTCCGAAAATGAGTGGGTTTCAGGTATATGCAGAAATGTCTCCCTAGATGTTCTTGATTTTCGATTTTGAGTTTTAAGTTGTGTTTGCATTTACAATGGCATCAAAAATTCAGTAATAAAATAATAATAATAATAATAATAATAAGTAAAATGGGGAATGAATGCCAACAAGCCAGTCGTACACACAGGATTGTTTTAGTCGCAGCGGAGAAAATATTGGACCGGAGTGTTTCCTGCCTTCTTAAAGAAAAAATCCCAATAATAGCTAAAATGGGGTAGTGGTGGTAACTATTTATTTATGCTATTTATTTGTGGTTTATTTTGTATATTAATAACATATTTTTAAAGAAAGGATGGAAGGGTTCCTGAGAGAGTCTTACTGCTCCATGCAACTGAGTTATCCCCATCCTGGTAAATGCATCGGCTTGTGATTGGGGGCAGGGGCGTTTTCGCCCCTGAACCTTTCTCCAGCTGCTCTCTGGGGAAAAGGGAACTAAAAACCGTAAAAAGAAATCAAGCCACCCCCGCCTCCCGTGAGGAGACTTGAGCCTAGTTAGGGTCAAGCCGGAGAATTGTTATTATTTTAAACCTGGGGAATTTTAAAATTTCGTTTGGGGAAGGTTATTTTGTTTTGGAAAGTATTTTTTATTTATTTCGTTTGCGAAGACTAATAGAATCATAGCAGAGTTGGAAGGGGCCTAAAGAATCATCTAGTACAGTCCTCAGCAGTACAGGAATCAATCACAGAGTCTTTGTGGTCGCTTTTCGTGAGAAAAGATTAAGAAATGACCCGTCCTGGCTGTTGGTTGCTCTTCTCACAAAACGTGTCTGGATCCCAGAGAAAGGAAATCATGTGTAGAAACGGGACACTCAAATAAGTCATTCCGGCTTTTTTGGTGGAGGGTGGAGTCAAGTTCTGGCCCAGGAGAGGGAAAACTTGATTGGTTGCAAGCTTGGATCCTCTTCCCAACAACAACAACAACAACAATAACAACAACAACAACTTCATATCTTTAGTTGAGTGTCTCCCTGAACTAAGAAAGACAAAAACTTTCTCTTTTTCGCCTCCTCCAATTATGCACTATGTTTTGTTCAATTTTCTAAATAAAGTGCTATCAGGATTTATTTTCAATTTTATAGATATAGATATAGGTAAATGCGAATTAACAACAACAACAACAGTTTTCATTCATTTTCATATTATTTTGTTATAAATTAATGTAAAGGCATACTTCGGTTGAAGCTGTTCCTCAATTTTGGTGTGTGTGTGTTCCTGTGGTTGATGCGACTGTGATAGTTAAAACAACAATAAACGTCAAATAGATTAATCATCAGCATGAATTTATTCATTGCCCGCCCTTCACCCTAAAGTCCCAGGGCGGGTTGCAGCACTAAAACCCAGTATTTAAAAAAGCATTTAAAACAACACACGACCCTAAATTTAAGGTGAGTCCTAAAATCCCGAACCGCTGTGTCAAAAGCAATGCATCTGAACCGCTGACGTCTTTCGCCAGAAAAAAGTTCAAGGAAAGGAAGGCTCTGAAATAAATCAGGAGCGCGCACAAAAATACTCTCGGGGATATGACGAGTGCCGCGACTGACAACGAAAACCAGCCTTGTGTTAAAAAAGGGGGCGGGGGACGCACTTGAAACTCGTCAAAACCCAAATTTCCAGAAAGGGAAACAAACAAATAACAGAATAATAATAAAAAAACCAGAATAAAATAAAAAAGAAACAAAACGCGAAGAAAAAGCAAGGAAAGTTCCAGGCAAAAACGAGGCAGGTCTGGATGTTTTAAAACCACATTTTGAGCCTTGATTTGTTTCTGCACCCTGCCCGCGACTGGGCGCGCGCGGTGGGGGAGGGAATCCTTATCGTATATTTATTTGGTAAAATTTATACACCGCTGTATTGTTTAAAAACTCACCCACCAACACCCACATCTTCAAAGCAGTTTACACAAACCATAAAATTACCAGTAAGGAAAAACCAACAGCAATAATTTAGCTTTCCTATTTTTGGCGGTGATTTTGATGGGACTTTATTCATTTTTTTATGGGACTTGATGGCGGTGGTGAAGGAGGAAGGCGACGTGTGTGGGTTCAGACCAATGGGAGGGCGGAGGAAGACCCCCCTTGAAAAATCGACAAATACTTAAAAAAAAGGGGGGGGGACAAATGGGGGCGGCGGAGGAAGCCACAGCAAAAGTGAGCAATGCAACAGGTTCCCTGCTACCTTGCTTCTGAGCCAACGTGCCTTAGGATCGGGTTGCGCCTTAAGCGATCCATTTCTCTCTATCTCCCCACCTCCCAGTTCCTGGGGATGCCAGTGGGAGGCTCGCTTCCCAGTGGAAGTGAAAGGTGGGGGGCAGGGGAGACATTGCGCTCCCCCAACCCGAAAAAGGCTCACCGGCATCCATCCGCAAGGCGCTGTGCGACCGCTCAAGAACTGGGCGCGCAAGAGGCAGAAGTGAGGGGAGAGCAAGATGCTTAGATTAATCACTCAATTACTGAATTGAGGGAACTAATCTGCATGTCTCTAAAATCTCCAGGTTGTTTTCTTTTTAACACCTATAAGGGATATATTCTATTATGTTTTTAATTTGTATTTATGCATTTATCACTGTATTTACCGGCCACAAGGCCTTTGGGGGATCACAGAATCGTTGAGTTTGAAGGGAAACTCTTTGTTTCTGGCAACATTTGAGACCAGTGACTGGGAGAACATTTTAAACTTCTTTTAGAATGCTTTAAAAATGGTTTGGGTTTTTTTAATAAATAAAATCATTGATGTATTAGAATCAGCATTGCAGAATTGGACGGGACCATGAGGGCCATCTAGTCCAGCCCCCTGCACTGCAGGAATCACAGCTAAAGGATCATAGCATTCTAGAAGGGGGCCAGTGGCAGACTTTGGGCTCTCAAATTTCAGCAGCACCCTGTGCAACGCAAAAAACAACTCAGCGCCCCCACCTCTCATGCTCCGTTCTACACCGAGGGGATCCGAAAAGCCAACTAGTTAAGCCCACTGCAATGTGGTGCCAAAAACTGGACTCCAGGTGAGGTCTGAGCAAGGCAGAATGGAGCATTACTATTCCTTCCCTTGCTCTGGCCTAAAATCACATTAGCCCTTTTTGCTGCTGCATCAAACCCGTTGCAAGGTTGCAAACACCTGGCTTGACAGGTGTCTCTGTGTCTTTCTCCCCGACAGAGGTCCCGCTATGCGCAGGGTGCAACCAGCACATTGTGGACCGCTTCATCCTGAAGGTGCTGGACCGGCACTGGCACAGCAAGTGCCTGAAGTGCAGTGATTGTCAAGTCCAGCTAGCGGAGAAGTGCTTCAGTCGCGGGGAGAGCGTCTACTGCAAGGAGGACTTCTTTAAGTGAGTCCTGGGGGTGGAGGAGGAGGGGGATCAAATGGGCCACAAGGGAGTCCGTTTCCTAAGGGGAGATCCCTGTTGGGATCCACCCCCTGTGCAACAAAATAAGGTCACAGAATCACAGAAGGGGAAGGAATCCTCCTAAGGACCATCTGGTTCAAGTCCCTACAATGCAGGAATCACAACTAAAGAATTGCAAGCCTTGCCTGGGGGTAGGACTCAGGCCAATTCATATCCTGCAAAAGCCAAAGAAAGAGTTGTCCATTGGAGGCATAAGAACACCAGCAGAGCCATGCAGGATCAGGCCAGTGGCCTGTCTAGTCCAGCCACCTGTCCTCATTGTGGCCATGTTTATGATGACAGTGGTACCTCCATGCCCAGGGGCAGTCTACTCCTGAACACCAGGTGGTGGGGAACCGGAGAGTTGCTGTTGTGCTTGGGTCCTGCTTGTGGGCTTTCCATAATAGGCATCTAGTTGGTCACTGTGAGGACAGGGTGCTGTATGACATAGACTCCCTTTAGCCCAATCCAGCAGCCAGGCTCTTGTTATGTTCTAATGGAACCTCCAGGTCCAGAGGCAGTCTATCTCAGTTCCTAGGTTCTTGGGGGCATTTGGCCGCTGTGAGAACAGGATGCTGGACTAGATGGGCCCCCTTTGGCCTGATCCACCTGCAACAACCAGGCTTTGCTTGGGCATGGACAGAATTCCCCTCCCATCATGAAGAAAGACAGCCAGCTCCCTCTACCACTTGCACTTGCATTATGGACTTTCAGGGGGATGCGTGCGCATGACTCCAGAATTCACTCTGTGTCCATTTTTTGGGAAGGTGTCCCAGCGTGCTCTTGGGTCTCTTCAACAGCAGAATTGTACAATAAATTCCCCATTTGTAAGTTCTCAGATCTTTCAGCATGATAGCACCTACTCCCTTCCTATTGATATCAGGCAGGCACCTTCTTTAGGGTACTCTTTTTGGCACGTGCTAAAAATATTTTTTTTGTTTAGACAAACCTCTCCAGACATTGAGAAAGTTGGTGTGAGTTTTAATTTAGTCTATTATTATTTTAACTTTTCAAAAGTCTTAAATTGTTATTAATTCTTCTTTTTGGTAACTTTATTGTTTCATCTTTTTGGAAACAGCTGTGAGGTTTTTTTTTACTATCAAGCAATGTATAAATTTTATGAGATAAAATTTGTCCCTGCTGATTTATTTCAAGAGACTTTGCTGCAGTTGTTTAATTAAAGATGAGTTTTAATTTGCTTTAGTCTATTGTTATTTGAACTTTTTGAATTTCTTACATTATTGTTAATTTTTCTTAGTGATCATTTTAATGCTTTATCTTTTTTGTAAAATGACTTTGAGATTTTTTTATTTTATTTTTACAATTGAGCAGCATACAAGATTTTATGAAATAAGTAAATAATAAATAAGTACACCCAGGAGCTGCCAGTTGACTATGGGATCATTTTCTTTGCATCATAGAACCATAGAATTGGAAGGGATCCCAAGGATTACCTAATTCAGTGTTTCCCAAATTTGGGCCTCCTGCTGCTTTTGAACTACAATTCCATCATCCCTGAACACTGGTCCTGCTAGCTAGGGATGATGGGAGTTGTAGTCCAAAAACAGCTGGCAACCCAAGCTTGGGAAACCCTGATCTAGTCCGACCCCCTGTAAGGCAAATGATCCTGGACCACAACAGGAATGTAGTTTCTTCAGCAATGAAAGGAAAATTTCAAGGAAGGACTCAGAACATATTAATTTACAGAATCATAGGATTGTAGAGTTGGAAGGGGTACCAAGAGTCATCTAGTCCAACCCTCTGCCATGCAAGAATCATAACTAAAGCTTTGTTCCTTTCAATAACCAAACAGGAGGTTTGGGACCAAATGTGCGGCCTGTCAACAGGGGATTCCTCCAACACAGGTTGTGCGGAGAGCCCAAGACTTCGTCTACCACCTCCACTGCTTTTCCTGTGTTGTCTGCAAGCGACAGCTGGCCACAGGGGACGAATTCTACCTCATGGAGGACAGTCGCCTGGTTTGCAAAGCTGACTACGAGACAGCCAAGCAGAGAGGTGGGTTGCACCCAGAAGGCTCCCTGTTATTTCATCTCCAATATTTATGGAGCATTTTCACCATAGATGGTCACAAAGTGGTGCTTACTTTGAGGGGGTTGCCTCCCCTAGTACGGAGTGGCTTGGCACACTCATTGTCACATGGATTTTTTATCTGCTTTGGAAGTTCTCCAAACTCTCTTTACACCTGGGGTGGGTGAGGTATTTTCTGTTGAGTACCACATTCTATCGGGGGAATCTGTCAGGGGGTATATGGTGGAACTGGGCAGAGCCAGAGTCACTTGGTCAGTTTCCCTAAGAAAATTGGAAACAGATTTTGGAGGTGTTGATTCCTAAATTTTATTCCAATCCATTAGAAGAATTTGTGTGCTGATATCTGGTTCCCATATCATTTGAAGGGGTTCCATAGATCCGTAAGTTACATTAAGCAATAAAGAGTATCATTTAACTCTTCCCCCCATCTCTATCCATTGTGTTTAATAAATTTTCAGTTTTTGTCAAGGGCCTCAGAGCTTGTATTTTTACACACGCTTTTATAATAAAACTATTTATTTGATTAACTAAATCCAGCTTGTGTAAAAATTTGGCAAAGTTTATTTTATTGGGTTAATGGAGGCTGATTATTGGTATAAAAATCTCACTGTGTGTAAATATTCGGATTCCCAAATTATTTCTCCCTTGCTGGAAAAAAATCTGGGTGATGTGATATTGGGATTAATGAAGAAATAACAGATGCAAGTTTAGGTTGCCAGGTTTTCCAATAGTACAATATGAACAGTACAATTAGTAAATTGATTCCATAGAATTGAATTGTAGAATTGTAGATTTGGAAGGGATGCCAAAGGTCACCTTGTCCAGTCTCCTGCTATGCAGGATTTGTTATAGAGTTCAGTTCCATTTATGTTGAATTGTTTATACCATTAGTTCAAAAGAGACCAGAGAAATGAAGCACTGGCGAACTCCTTCCAGCGCTATGTGGATTGAATGGACATCTCAGATTTGGGAAAAGAACAGACTTGTGAAATTAGAACAAGAAGGAAAAACAACATAACAAAGGACTTTTAAAAAGTTTGGGCAGGCTTTATTTCATTTTTAATATCTAAGGAATATGGCTTTCAGCCGCCTATTGGAAATTTATGGAAAAGCATGCATGCACACACACACGCATAAAAGTTACTAGACACTTTATGTTCTGAGAGGGTTGGGAGACAAGGTTAGTGGTAAAAAAAATGTTTGCTTGTATTATTTTGGATATATGAAAAAAACCAATAAAGAATTCTTAAAAAAACAAAAACCAACCACAATCCAGAGAATTGGATGGGCTGGGGGTTGATTTAGGGTCATAGGTTTGTGGTTCCTGGAGCTTTGGGATATTTGATGCCTTGTCTCTTGGGGACATTTGCAGAAGCGGAGTCCACAGCAAAGAGACCCCGCACGACAATCACAGCCAAGCAACTGGAAACCTTGAAAAATGCATACAACAATTCCCCAAAGCCGGCCCGGCATGTGAGGGAACAGCTTTCCTCCGAGACCGGCCTGGATATGAGGGTGGTCCAGGTGAGTGACCCTACCTGAGGGTGGGTGGGGCAAGGGAGGGAGCAGGCATTTTCCAGCAAGCATTTTAACTAATGCTTGATTATATATATATTTTTACTGATTCTGAATTGCATCTTGCAAACTGCTTAGAGACCATTATAGTTAAGAGTATAAAATCTGTTTAAATAAAGAGAAAGAGAGAGAAGAGTGTGTGCTGGGTTGGGAAAATAGTTGCTGGTATGTTACTAATATCGACTGTCACCCAAATGCGACAGCTGCCAGCATTCCTGAACTGGGAAAGCATTGCCATAGTAGTTCATGCACTGGTTACTTTAAGGTTGGATTACTGCACTGAGCCCACTGTGGGGCTTCCCTCATGCTTGATTTGTAGGCTGCAGCCACTGCAGAATGTTGAAGCACAATTGCTGGCTGGACTGGTGCCTTGTCAGCATATAACAGCTGTGCTCAGAGATCTGCTATGGTTGCTGATTTGCTGCTGAGCCAAGTTCAAGTTGTTAGTGTTAGTATATATAAAACCTTAACAACTTGCGACAAGTTTACCTATGAGATTGCCTTACCCCTCATGCGCCCTCTTGACTGCTTCAATCAGCAGAATTGGCACTAATATAGGTGCCACATAATAATTATACCTTTGTAAGATTTTGGTCTTTTGGTGTGGTAGCTTTGGAACTCCCTGTCTGTGGATATCAATTTTATGAAACAAACAAACAATTATTAATATAAATATTTGCTTTGCTTTGATATTTTTTGTTCTGCTTTTCCAACAATGGATGTTGAGCTCAAAGCACAATAATCACAATGGCATTAAGAACAACAAAAGATTGCAATCCTTATAACATGCAAATAAAGCAAACACAGCAATAAATTCATCAAAGCAATTTGGCATTTAAATGTGCTGTTAAATATTGTCTATTTGTTGCATTACATGCATGTTTTGAATTGTTGTACTGTAATGCAAAAGCGATAAATAAAATTATTTATCTGCTTGGATAATTAACTGTTAATAAAAATTTAACTGCTTGGACACCTTCAGGTAACGAATGGCTAACTGGAGGTAGGAATACCAATAAATACTTATTTATTTATTCAATGTCTTCCCTGCCCTTCGCCACAAGGTTACAGCAATTTAAAAACACAAGGCTTTTTTCAACTAAGTTTTTCTCAGAGTAGACCTACTGGAATGAATGACCATGGCAAAGGTAGTTTCATTAATTCCAACATATCTACTCTGAATAAAACTTAGTTGAATACTCCCCCCCCCCAAGTTTAAAACAAATTACTGCCACAAGGCCAGGGTAAAGTGGTGCATCTTCAACATATTATATTATTTGCTTATGCTATAAAATTTATACACCACCTGGTTGTTAAAAAAGACCCTTCAAGGCAGTTTACAAAAAGATAAAACAATAAAATCAAGTAACAATACTTGAAAATGTACAAAACTTTCTAAGCATCTGGGTAGGCTTGTCTAAACATGAACGTTTGAGCAGGTACCAAAATATCCAAAGGCAGGGAGTTTCAAAGTGTAGTTGTTGTTACACTTAAGAATCAGGTTTATATGCTGGGATTATTATTATTATTATTATTATTATTATTATTATTATTATTGACATTTATATCCCGCCCTATACTCACAGATATACCTATACCTGATGGAAACTATATATAATAGCATTTCTGTGGTGACAGAATCCCACAACTTCAGAGGTCAATATAAACTTGTATATTGTAAATGTGAGCTTGAACTTGTAGCAAGTGCCCAACCCTCAGAAAAATAAAAGTAAGTGAGAGATGGACATCTCTGGGGAAATGTCCATGTTGCAGTGAGAGGTGAATTGCAGCTTCCAGGATGGCAGTGGCTTTCTCAGGAGCACTTAAATGTTGCAGATTTAAGAGCTTCTCCTGGCTGGCTCCTCAGGTTTGGTTCCAGAATCGGAGAGCGAAAGAGAAGCGGCTCAAGAAAGACGCTGGGAGGCAGAGGTGGGGGCAATACTTCCGGAACATGAAGCGGTCAAGAGGGAACTCTAAATCCGACAAGGAGAGCATCCAGGAAGAGGGCCCGGACAGCGACGCTGAGGTCTCCTTCACAGGTACATAGAATTGTAGAATTGCATACCCTCCAACATTTCTCCAATGAAAATAGGGACGCTCTATTTCATACTAATAACAATGTTATTATTCATACTCCACTCATCTGACTGGGTTGCCCCAGCCACTCTGAGCGGCTTCCAACATATATAAACATATTATGTTTTTATATAATAAAACAATAAGCATTAAAAAAAAAAACTTCCTATACAGGGCTGACTTCAGATGTCTTCTAGAGGTTGTATCTCCTTGGTTCAGGTGTTGCATAACTCCATACCCTCCAACATTTCTCCAAAGAAAATAGGAATAAATCTGAATATGGGATGGCTTCTGTAAATCTGGGACTGGCCCTGGAAAATAGGGACACTTGGAGGGTAAGGAATCGGAAGGGATCCCAAGGCCCATCTAGCTCAACACCTGCAATGTGCAACATCTGGACATGCATTTGGAAGACAATTTGTTATGCTTGGTGATTTATTTTTTTTTAATTCAACAAAGTTTGTAAAAATAAAATAAAAATAAAGCTGCTCTCTCTTTCCCCCCTCTTCCAGATGAACCATCTATTTCTGAGATCAGCCACAGCAACGGAGTCTATGGAAGCCTTGGGGAAAACTCTCCTGCCCTGGGGCGGCCAGCTGGGGGCAATGGAGGCTTCTCCCTGGAGCACAGTGGACTCCCAGTTCCAGACCAGTATCATGACCTCCGCCCTACCAGCCCTTTGCAGGCCCTGCCTGGCCACCAGCCCTTGATGTCCAGCCTGGTTTACCCTGATGGTGGCCTCAGCCTGGTGGGGCAGAGCGGACAGGGAGTGCCCCAGCCCATGAGGGTGCTGGCAGGGAATGGACCCAGCTCCGACCTCTCCACGGGGAGCAGCGGGGGCTACCCAGACTTCCCTGCGAGTCCTGCCTCATGGCTGGACGAAGTGGATCATGCCCAGTTTTGATGGAGCCCATTACATCTGGCAAGGGGGTGCGCGCTCCCTTGAGACTTTTAAAAAATGGAATGACAATGTTATCTCTACTGGTGTTGGGATCGGCCAGCAAAGATGATGGAGGACATCCTCCTACAACATTCACTGCCCCAACCGCAGGACTAGCCCCATATTAGGGGCATGTGTGGAAAAATATATATATGGACCAAGATGCCTTTTGGGCCTGACTGACAGTCTGGAAGTGATTCCTGGGCTGGGCCACTTGCCATTGAACCACAGGGCCAGGCAACCCTACTGATGACACCAAATGATTAGGGGAAATGCCAGGATGTTTCTGTATTTCCCCCAAGGATGGTTGCAGCTTCTACACAGGGTGCTGTGCGGCTGAGCGCCTAACAGACCTTGTGATTTCCATAAGATATATGTGTGTCTGGGGAGCGATGTTAATTTTGTTTTTGTTTCTATTTTTTAAAATAACACTGTTCTCCATACATCTCTCAGTGGAAAGACTGGCCTTTCTGCCATCCCAGGCCTATCAGAAGCTCTTGAAAAAATTACATAGCTTCAAAATTGCTTTCTACAGTGAAAAGAAAGGGGTGTGTGTGTGTGTGTGTGTGTGTGTGTGTGTGAATACTTCCAAGCGGTGAGATATTTTGAGGAAATACCCTTCTAAGAGGACTCTTAAAAGAATATGAGAGAGAGAGAGAGAGAGAGAGAGAGAGAGAGAGAGAGAGAGAGAGGGAGGATGGGTTGTTTCCTTTTTTTAAAAAATGCATGCACCCAAGACATAGGTTTTCAAATGCCAATGATGCAATGTTCTTTCTTTCTTTTTTTCTTTTATGGCCAAGGTGGCCCTAATTTGTAGGCTACTAGCTGTATTATTTCCATCATGCTGTGAATAAGGTGTATTAATTACAGAACCGGTTCTCATTTTATCATAGGCTCATAGAGATCAGTGGTCTGTATGTGTCATTCATCTCCTGGACTGGGAAATGGGGTTTGTGTGCTTTTTCAAGTTACTCCTTTTAAAAGTGGTTCTTCTGTGGAATGTCAGGGAGCCTGGCACAATTGCCAGGAATGGCGGTGACACAAAGGGACCCCAAGGGTCATTTAGTCCAACCCCCTACAATAACTGTGAGCCCTGGCCTTCTCTGCTCCACTCCCCCTCCATGTTTCCTAATTGGAGAGAAGGTGAAAGAAAACACCCCACCCCACGCATCTCCCCACACTTCATTACTTTCTCTCCAAGCAGTGTAGGCAACTGGGTGGGAAGGTGGGTGCTGGAGGCCAATGGGGTGAGACCTCCATTGTCACAGGGTTCCTATTTCCCTGCAATTTTGGGACGTGGGTGGCACTGTGGTCTAAGCCACTGAGCCTCTTGGGCTTGCTGATCAGAAGGTCGGTGGTTCGAATCCCCACAACGGAGTGAGCTCCCATTGCTTTGCCCCAGCTCCTGCCAACCTAGCAGTTCGAAAGCACGTCAGTGCAAGTGGATAAATAGATACTACTACAGCGGGAAAGTAAATGGCATTTCTGTTTGCTCTGGTTTCTGTCCTGTTGCGCCAGAAGTGGTTTAGTCCTGCTGGCCACATGACCCGGAAAGCTGTCTGTGGACAAACGCCGGCTCCCTTAGCCTGAAAGCGAGATGAGTGCCGCAAACCCATAGTCGCCTTTGACTGGACTTAACCGTCCAGGGGTCCTTTACCTTTTTTCACCTACAGGCTTCCTATTTCCCTGCAATCCCACATAATGGGGGGATGGGATGCTGCTTCCCTGATCAAAGGAATTCCTGTCAATTGGTTGTAAGGGTTTTATTCCCTTCAGCAACAAAGAGCCTTGTTGCACCTCAAAGGCTTATAGATGTATTTAAAAGCATTTATAATACCCATGAATGTTTAAAAAAAAAGGTGACGCTGCGAACTATCTAAAAATGAACAATATTTCATTAAAACACACAGCCCCAAACCAGCAAATCAGCAATATGAAAACATGCAAAAGCATGGCAGGGTGAATAAAACAGAAATTTGGATGATCCAAAGATGTAGAACAGAAGTCAATCTTACTGGTCAAGGAAAGGCAGGGCAAATCGATTGTGGCATCATCTTTGATGGATTGTGATCCATTTCAGCAGATAAAACTGTGGGCTTTATCTGTAAAAGTTTATAGCACAATCAAGTTGCTAGTCCCTTAAGAAGCCACCCGGCCCTTTTGCTGCAAGAGCCAGCTCCTTCATTAACTTGCTAAAGCTGCATTAATTTGTGTGTAAGATTTGAAACATAGTTCTAAAGGGGGAAGAGAAGCATATGTCCTATTTACTGGAGAGCAAAAGGTTTTTAACTGGGCAATCAAACCAATGAGTCAATTAAGGTTCTATGCATGTCTGCTCAGAAGCAAGTCTGAGCTCAATGGGGTATGGACATCAGAGTATGTCCAGGATGGCAGCTTAAACATTTACTGCAAATCAAGGTCCATATTTCATTAGTTTGCTAGGGATAAAGTCCCCTCTGTGAGGCTGTCATTGCAAAGGAATTTGTTTCTTTGCTGCCTGATTGCCAAAAGCTTCCCTAACATAGTCTCTGGCGAAGACTTTCTGTACGTTGGAGACAGACCCTTTCCAAGTACCCATCTTAAAGCCCTCAAGGGACATTTTCTAAGCATCCCCCCTCCTCCTTCTTCCAGGAACCCCTGTGTTTTTCAAAGCAGACTCCTGTATATCATAACCTGTAATGCTGAATATTACCTGTTGGTTATGTGTTCTGTCTGTTGTCTCTTTCTCTCTGACCAAATACCGTGAAGACTTTCAATAAATTTGTCAGCAAAAGATTGATGGGGCCTCATGCTCAATGTGCTCAAATATTCTCTTGGTTGTAACTCCATAAAGCTCCCACACTTACCGGTCACTATTGGGGGGAGTGCCGGGGGGCACTCCAATGACCCCTTCTGTCTTCTGTGTCTGTTCTTTCATCCCAGGCTGTGGACTGAAGGGGTCTGAAGTCAAGGCAGCCCAGGCCTGGTCAGTGGTAGTGGCTACTTTCCACAATGGCTATGTTTTCCCTCCCCTGTTGGAGGCAGTAAACATATCTGAATAATACCGGTTGCTGGGAATTACAGAAAGGCAGAGTGCTCTTGTGCTCATGTCTGCTTGTGGAGTTTCCATGGGTTTCTGGGTGACCAGTGTGTCTGTATGAAACCTCCAGGTCGTCTATCTAGATTCCTAGACTGGCCACTATGATGATATGATGCTGGACTAATGGCCTTTGGCCTCAGCCACAAGGCTCTTTTGATGTCCTTCTGAGGTGTCCTTGGAAGCCAGGACCCATTCCTCTGATGGTCTCCGAGACCATTCCTGTGGGATCCCCTTCCATGGAGAAATCCCTCACTAAAGCTGCTTTCAGTGCCACTAGCCACACTTGGGTTCCAGCAGGATGGAAAATGAACCTTCTCTAAACCTCTTCATGACCCTGTGGATAAATACAATTAATTCCTCATTTGCCTCCTAAGTCTCATAAGCTCTCTATTTTAGCAGAGAGAAAGATGGTGGGGCAGCCTGACCTTGAATCGTTCTCATTGCCAAGATGGTGGGTAACCTGATCCTTGTGAACATAAGGAAACAGAAGGGGGGAAACAGGTGAGGATGTGTCACATGAAGAACTGCTAATCCAACCCAATCCTCTCATCAAAACAGTTTCCAGGCAGGTGCGGCAGGTTTCCAGGCAGGTTGCGTCTACCTGGCAACCAAATGAATCACAAATAACGTGGGATCAGGGTGTGAATTAGCAATCAACCTTTGTCACAAAGCTTGTGTGTAACTCACAGGATGACTTTTATGTGATCTCTGTGCTTCTGCAGCACTGTGCCAAGCAGATCTAACGCCAAGGGAAGGGCCCCAGCTTAGCTGCAGAGCACCTGCCCTGCAAGCAGAAGATCCCAGGCTCAATCCACACTGGCATCTCCAGGTGGGGCTCAGAGAGACCCCTGCCTGAACCCCTGGAGAGCTTCTGCTACTGTCAGTCATTGCAGACAATGTGCTAGATGGACACTATGTGACCCAATGTGGGATGCAAAACGAAACTGATGCTCAGTCTGCCAAATGCCTTAGAAACAGAGGAAGGCCTTATAGTCTTGAAAGCACAAGATGGGCCTCTGTGGGGAGACGTCCTGGTGTTTGGGGGTCCAGATTAAGGGAGAAGGATAGAAGTTGGTAGGGGGAGCTTTGTGAGGGGACAGAAGGAGAGCTGTCCTGCCCCTCTGCCCACCCTTCATAACCTTTCTGCCCCAGCCTTATCTTGGAACACAGAACAGGGGTGTTTGAATTAGACTTACAGAATTGGTACTTGACTGTTTTCGTAACAGACGTCACTGGATCTCTGGGCTTCTGTGACATCACACCAACTCAGCCAGTGCCTCTAAGGATGATTTCTCAATGGGCAGACAGACAGCATGAAGGTTGGGACAGAACCCCTGCTAGGGAGTTCCTGTGATAATGAACATATACATACTCAAAATCTATCTGTTTTTCTGTGGTTACATCTGACACATCATCCATATATCTGGGGCAATGTCAAACATGACAGAATCCTGAGCCTGAAACCACAATACAGGCAAGATTTGATAGCAAACTGTGTAGGTTGTTTCATCTGCTTTCCTTGGCCTATAATTTAAGAACATCAGAAAGAGCCTTCTGGATCAGGCCATATAGTCCAGCATCCTGTTCTCACAGTGGGCAACCAGATGCTTGTGGAAACTTGCAAGTGGAACCTGATCATAAGAGTATCTCTCCCCAACTGTGGTTTCTGGCAACTGGTACATTCAGAAGCATTGCTGTGGAGGCAGAGCATAGCCATTGTGGCTAGGAGCCTTCAATAGTCTTCTCAATGAATTTACCCAGTCCTTTTTAAAAGCTACCCAACTTGGTGGACCTCACTACCTCCTGTGGCAGTGAGTTCCACAGTTTAACTCTGCACTGTGTGAAGAAGGCTTTCTTTTTATTCGTCCCAAATCTTACAACGTTC